CGGGGGACGGCCCGGAGCGGCCGCGCGGAAGTCGGCGCGGAGGTCCGTCGCCCGGGGAGCCGTCCCGCGGCGAGGCCCGGCGGCCGGGAGGCTCCGAGGAGCCGGAGAACGGCGGGGGCCCCGCGGAACGGTCGGACCTCGGGCTGCTCCCGGCCGAGCTGCGCGGCCGGCTGCTGGACCAGGAGGATTGCCGCGACCGCGCGCGGGCGGTGGAGGAGCTGCAGCGGCTGCTGGCGGCCCTCGGCCCGGCCGCGGCGGCCGCGGCGCCCGGCACGGCGCTGCTAGGACTGCTGGGGCTGCTGTGCGCGCTGCTGGACGATGCCGACTCGGCGGTGGCCCTGGGCGCCCTGGAGGCCGCGCAGCTGCTGGCCCTGCGCCTGGGCGGCCGGCTGAGCGCCTTTCTGGGTCCGCTGGTGGCGGCCGCGGCCAAAGCGCTGGGCGACCCGCGGGCGGCCCTGCGCCGGCGCTGCCACCGGCTACTGCGGCAGCTGATGGAGGCGGCCGGGCCGCGGCGCGTGCTGGAGCTGCTGCTGCGCCGGGAGCTGCTGCGGCACCGCGACGCCCGCGTGCGCGAGGAGGTGCTGGTCGCCTGCGTCGCCGCGCTGCTCGCCCACCCCGGGGAGCTGGACCCGGGCAGCCTGGCCCTCGGCCTCGCCCCGGCGCTGCTGGACGGCGAGCGCAGAGTGCGGCACGCGGCCTTGGAGGCGTTCGCCCTGTTGGCGTCGGCCGCCGGGCCCGGGGAGAGCGGCCTCCTGTTCGAGGCGGTGCGCGCGGCGGAGCCGCGGGACGACGGGGACCGGGCGATGCGCGCGGTGCGGGCCAGGCTGGCCAGGAAGAGCCTGCCGAGGCTGGGGGAGCGCGGCTGCGTGCAGTACGCGGTGCCGCTGCCTTCGAGCGCCCGGGGCTGCGGGGCGCCGCGCGGGGCCGACGTCGAGTGGCTGCTGGCGGGCGGCGGGGCGCGGAGCGCGAGGAGCTGCGGGCCGCAGCCTGGGGACGCCGCGCGGAGCTCCGGCTCGACCGGCGGGACGGCGCGGAGAATCCTGAGTGCCGGGAGAGGGAAGAACAAACTGCCCTGGGAAGCAGAGCGCGGCAGAGACGGGGAAGGCGGAGCGGGAGACGTGGTGCCTTCCGCCGAGGGCGTGGAGCAGGTACGTGCCGCCGGGCCGCCGGGCTGCTTTTTCCGAGGGGAAATACTGTGAGAGGATGAGAAAGTTTCCAGAGGTTTGTGAAGTGACAGGTGTTTCTGCGGGGTGAGCTCAGTGCAGCATTTCAATACCTAAAGGGAGCCTAAAACAGGAGGGGAGTCAGCTCTTGGAAAGGGTGGATAACAGCAGGACAAGGGGAAATGGTTTGAAGCTGAGGGAGGCCAGATGGAGGTTGGATGTCAGGGGGAAGTTGTGTGCTGTGAGAGTGGTGAGGTGCTGCAACAGCTGCCCAGAGAGGCTGCGATGCCCCGTCCATCCCTGGAGGTGTTGAAGGCCAGGTTGGATGGGGCCCTGGGCAGCCTGGGCTGCTGTGAAATGGGGAGGTTGGTGGCCCTGCCTGTTGGAGCTTCATGATCCTTGAGGTCCCTTCCAACCCGGGCTGTTCTGTGATTCTGTGATTTCTGAGGCACGGCTTGTGCTGCTGATGTGTGTGAGGTTCTCTGTGTGTTGACCTGGCAGACCCAATCTGAATGCTCCAAACGTCCGATTTAACGCTGGGACAAAACAGACAACTTAGCGTGCATAGAAAACCTCACTGCTGAAACATGCTGTGCTCGCTGGGCGCTTCCGACATCCTGCCCTGGTGACCCTGATTGTGACTCACAGAAGCTTAGGGAGCTCCTGCTTGTGTCCCTGAGAACACCTGATGGATGCTGAATACTGGGGCTGTTCGGAAGAAAACTGACAAATGGTTTCAGTTCAGGCCTTGGAGGCAGAGCTCCAGCACGTGGCTGAAGCCAGTGCTTTTGGGCAGTGCACCTCTAACCAAGTCTGTGGGTTGCTGTGTGTGAAAATGGCCCGTGTTCCTGATAGTGATCTGACCAGGAGGAACGTAGGTGAGGCTGAAATAATGATTCTGCTTGACCTGCGTTTTGGTTGTAGAGTTCAGTGATTATACTGATGTCTGCAAGTGGAAGGAACCTCTGAAGAATTGTTCAGGTCCCTTTTACTTCTGCAGTTCTGTGTGTGACAGCTGATTTTGGTACCACGAGACCTGCAGTGTGTGCTGGATGGGTTTAACGTAGCATTACTTGATCCTCAGTGAATGAGTTACTCCAGAATTACCTGAACTCTACTAATAAGCGAGTGGCTTTCAGAAAATAGGAAACTGTATGACTATAGATTTTTTTGCTACCATATTTAGGTACTCAGGTAGCACTTCTTTGCAGAAAGGGCTGTGAAGCACTGCCATGGGCTGCCAAGGGAGGTGGTTGAGTTGCCATCCCTGAATGTGCTTAAAAACCGTTTGGATGTGGTGCTCAGGGCTGTGGTTTAGGGGTGGGCTGTTAGAGTTGGGGTAGGATGGTTGGGCTGTGGATGGACTCAATGATCCTTAAGGTCTTTTCCAACCTGAGCAATTCTATGACCCTGTGATCCAGAATTTAGTTAATACTTGCTTTGTAGCTGGTTCCTGTGCTGAGTGAGATCAGGAATAACGATAGGCAAAGCTACTTTGTGCAGGTTGGGTTTTAATAAAGTCCTTTAAAAAGGAATGTGAGCTAACATTGTTGCACTGCAAAAGTCTGCAGGGAGTTGATGTGTCTGCCTGCATTCACATAGACGCAAAACACGTGGCTGCCCTCCCGGCTGTGGCTTGCAGTGGTGAAGGGCTCCTGCCCAAGCTCACGGCTGGGCCCAGGGGAGGTGCTGCTGGCTTTTTTGTTTAACATTTTTGCTCATGTGGTTTGATTTCCCTCTGTAAATGGGGAAAAGTGCCCAAAGTTTCGACCTCTGGAAGGAGGGAGGCAAACAATTAATTCCTGCTTTCTTTTTTGTTGTGTGTGTAAAATGCATTTCGGAGTGGTGTGGACTGAAATGTAACCTGGGGAGGCAACCACATCTTTGTGGCTGCAAGTCGGGGCGCTGATGTACTCCTTTCAGTAGGCAGCATCCTTGGCACTGCTACAAGAAAGCCTTTTATACTCTGTGCAGCTTTATAGGTGTAGTGTGAAAATTGTGGATGCAAATGCCATCTGTGTGTGCCTGGGGGTTGTTGCCCAGCTCTCCAAGGTGGGCGATCCCAGACGCTATGGGCTGGGAGAGGTGGGTTCCCTCCTCCACAGAGCACCTATGGGAGAAAACAGAAGGGTCTGTAGATCCGTTTCCTTCCTCTGGCAACCGCTTGGCACAAACTTGTCTGTGTGCCTGCAGATCTTCTGGCAATTATAATTTTTTTTCTTTCCTCCTTGGCGACTTCTTCAGTTCATGCAAGTACTAAAGCCTAAAATTACCACTTTCCTTTTGGAATCATCTCTATTTTTATGTCTTTGCGTCTCATGCCAAATATATTTCTGCCACCTATTTTTGCAGAATTAGACCTGAATGAGTTTCAGCCTTTATTTGGTAAAAGCATAATTTTGAACAGGGGCCTCAAGCTGTGAAGTTAACCACTCTCGCTTTGCTTTCGCTGCTGTGGTGTACTGTAGGTGGCAACAAAAATACTTCTACAGGGAGAAATACTGTTTGTCTTGTTCTGTGCTTATTGCTTTTTAGTAAGAAGTAATTTTTTTTGCATCTAATGACTTTTTCTAAGTCATCCTGCACCTCCTGCAGATGCTCTTTGTTAGAATCATAGAACCATAGAATGGCCTGGGTTGCAAAGGAGCACAGTGCTCATCCAGTTCCAACCCCCTGCTGTGTGCAGGTCGCCAACCAGCAGCCCAGGCTGCCCAGAGCCTGTGTTCATGTCTCTTCCTTCTGCTTTCTGACTCGGTCTGTTCGTTTGTCACTTCCATTTTGTTTTCTTACATATTGAAGTTGGTAGAAAGGAGATCACTAACTCTGAGGTGTCAGAGTTGGAACTATTGGAATGGGGACTATTGAACTTGGGCAGTTCTTCCTGTACTGAAGTCGTCCCTTGACAACTGGAAGAGATTGTCATAAAGTACTTAATTAAATAAAGTCCTTTACCTTGGGGCATTAACAGTGAGGAGAAAGAAGGGCAGCCCTGCCTCTCTTCATAGCTGCCCTCTTTGACTAAGATATATCATGCATGACATTTGCATAGTTGACTTGTTTCTGTAAATGTAAAAAATTAATTATTAATTCAAACAAGCATTCCTTTGAGATGAGTTTGTTTAAAAATTAACTTTTGGGGTCTGAAAGGATGCATGAAATGAGTCTTTACAATTGTTCTTTTTTTTTTTTTTTTGCTGCTATTTGTAGGGTCACGTTGCACAGCAATGGTCCAAGGCCATGTCTAGACTGTGCTGATCAGATAAGGGGTGAGGTTAGTGGGTGGGTTAATGGGTGCTGGCAGTGTGGGGAAGATAAAGCACGCTGCCTCCAGGGCTTCGCAGCCTGCCAGTGATGTTAATTGGTTTGCTGATGGAATGCTGCTCTGTAACCTCCAAGGAGCTTTGAAAGCAAGTCTGTGTGGTACCCATCTGTCAACCCAGAGCAGTCGGTGATGCTGGTGGTATTCAGACAGACAGTGTGCCTGAGAGCTGCTACCAACACAACCCCACCTGTTGAGCACCGGTGGCTGTGCCAAGGGCTGGCAGCAGGGCTGTGCTGTGCCCTGCCTGTGCTGACAGAGCGTGGCGTTCCTGGGGGAAATTGCACGCAGCTGTTAAAAAGGCATTCAATGAAACATGGATGCCAGCCTTGTTTAATCCATAGCTCTTGTTATTTCTGACAGTGAGCGTCCTGTGATTCAATTGCCTGATTTCACAGCTCAGCGCATTGCATGTCAGAATGTAAGGCTTACTGCTTAATAGCTGCTCGCACAACCCCAGCTTCCCATTTCTCTTTCTGAGAGCAAGGCCTGGCTTCATCACATGAAGCACAGTTGTCTGTGTTTCCTGCTGGCAGCTGCACATACCTGCCTGGACGCAGCACTGAGTGCCCTGTGTGCAGGTGGCAGTGCTGGCCCCACTGCATTCATGGGGAAGAGCGTGCTGGGATGCTGCAGCCTTGTGGCAGCACCAGTGGAATGCTTTCATGAGCTGGTAATCAAGTGTGTAATCACATGAGTTCTTTTCCTTTGTACTTCAGCAGGGTCCTGCTCGTTTCTAACCCTGCGCAGGCAGGGCTGGCCTTGTGATGTTCAGTATTATCTGTGAATTCAATGGAGAAAGAGTGTGAATTTGCTGAAGTCAGTATTCTTTTTCTGCACTGATGCGTTGTCTGCTCCAGTTCCTTAGGAGAGAATAAGTAGCTTCCATCAGATTGAAACCAGACCGTTCCAAAGGAAATGTTTGTGCTCTTTTCTGTGGGACTCAACGTGGTCTGTGAATCCTTTGGGAGCTGCCTTTAACTAACTGAAGTTGGCCTGCTGTAACCAAACGTGTTACCTTCTCATACAGTGTCCTGGTTTGTCCATGTCATGTGAATGAGCTGAAGAACATTGCTGTGGCAATGAATTCCCCTGTTCCCTTTTTAACTGTAATCTTTTTTAACTCCAATTTAAGCAAGCTATCAGAACAGAAACATTGCAATTTGGGGCACAAAAGCACTTGTCAAAAAACCAAATGCTTTTGCCCTCCTGAAGGTACAACAGATGCTGTTGTGTCTCCCCATGGATGTTGGTAGCCAGGTGTCCCTGGGTGTGCTGTGTGGAATGCACAGCGTGCCTAGATAATAAGATAAATGTTATTTTCTGCCTTCCCCTACAAAACATACGTGCTGCTGGAAGCTGTGCCCCTGGCTGCAGCAGCAACAGCAGTGGAACGCTCTCCTGAAGCTCTGAACCGAGTTGCACGGTGCACTTGGGCTGTGCTCACATAACTTCACGGTTTGACAGTGTGTGTGGGATTCCTTGTTGGAGGTGTCAGACCCAGGGAGATGAGCCGTGGTTTTTCAAGGGTGATGGAAGAGTACTTTGGGGAACTGTCATGATCCACTTGTGCTGTGCTGGATGTTTCCCCAGGTGGGTGTTGCTGGTGGCCCCACGCAGTTGCTGTGCATGCAGGGGCTGTGGCAGCAGTGTGCCCCTGGGCTGCTCAGCAGCGCTCTGACTTCTGCTGCATGGCTACCAAGGCTCTGCTGTGCTGGGAATGAAATCAGAATGAAAGCTCTGAGAGTTCCCTTCTCTGAGATCTGTTGCAATGAAAACTCCGGTGGCCTTAGGTTTGCTTTATTTGCCACTACCCTGCATGCCCCTGTAATTACAGTCTGCGTACAAGAAAGCAGACAGCTTTTATTCCTGCAGCTGGAATTGAAGCACCTGAGCAAAGCTGTACAGTCATTTCAGCATCATGTCGTTTGTTCTTTCTGCGTACATTGGCTTGTGTGCATGGAAAGGTGTTAGTACTTTGTGCAAGTAATGCCCCTGTGTCCAGGCTGATGGATTAAAATGCTGTTTTCTAATGGCTTGTTTGCAGGAGTGGGAATTGGACCTGATGATCTTGGAGGTTTTTTCTAACTGGAGTGATTCTGTAATTCTGCATGCTGAATTCTCTTTTGTCCTCACTTCTAATAACCTGAAGCAGGTTTCTCAGCACACTTGGCTGCTGTCTCTCATGTTAAAGTAAAACCAGCATCCTCAGGATGCTGCCATCACAGTGACTGAAGGATTGTCCTCAGACTGCATCTCGTCACCAGAATCTCTTTCTTTTTCTTCCCAAAGCTTCATGTTCCCTGCTCCAGTCTTACCAGTGCCTTCTGGGCTTCTGCAGTCTGCCTTTAAGAAGGGGATCTGGACTGATCTCTTTGTACCTCAGCTTCTTAAGTTTTCCCTAGTTGCCAGCTTTAAACCAAACTTTTAGGCAGTGAACCATTTTAATCGAGAATCTGATCTCTGAAACCCAATTAAAAAGCACAGTCCTGCACTGAAACTGTATTTCAGGGGAGGAAGATTTTATATCCAGTTTCCAACTTTTGAGCATTGCGGTGGCTTTGCTTGGAAAGTTTCAGATGAGATTTTGCCCTGTCTGAGCAGCCCAGCTCCCACATGGGGCTGCAGCCAAATGTCTGCTTTCCTTCTGTAGTCGTTGCCAGCAGGGATGTGTGTGAGTTACTTTGTGCCTTGTAAGGGAGGAGCATGGCCACGGAAAGCAGATTTAGGCCTGAGGGATGTAAAGGCATGAGTTCAGTTTTCCACGAGGAGTGTCTTTATAGGGCTTGGAGATTTTGTTTCTTTTGACTTGTATAAATGCCTCTTGTGTTGGGAATCCGTGCCTTGAGAGGACCTGGGGGCCCCTTTCCATTGGTGAGCACGTGGTTCCTGCAGCTGGTTCTCATTGCAGGGTGCTGATAGTGCAACGCACAGCTTTTGTGCTCCATCTGAAGCGTGCTGTTTTCACAGCTCAAATAGCCACTGTCTGGTTAAAGATTGAATGTACAGAAATCATAACAATATTTAATTCTTAAAAATGATGAAGAGCGCAACTTTTTATTTCCATTTTTTTCTTGAACATTCGATGTCAACCTGTGGGAGTGAAAATGGGAAACCCACAGCTCTGTTCTCCTAGGTGGGATTCCTCCAGTATTGGCAATCTGGGAGTAGCTGGGCAGGCGGGTCGGAGTGCTTTGTGGCTGCAGCTCCACTGCTTGTGGTTAGCAGAGGAGCTCCAGCGCTGTGCTGGCAGGTGAGGGGGCACTGGGGGCTCGTGGACGGCGTGCAGCACCGTGAGAGAGCGCTCTGTTCATGTGCACCTTTGTTTCTTTGTGTTCCTTTCTCCTGCAGTTCTCTTCACCCGGAGATTTTCTCCATTCTCCAAAGCTGCAGCCCTCCCAAGGAGCGCCGGGCAGCGATGAGTTACTTTTCAGTAGAAGAAAACCGTCAAGAGATTTATTTCAGAATAGCGTAGATTTCAGTTCTGAGCATTCTTCACTTTGTGCCGGTGAGTACCAGCATGAGTCCTGTGTGACCTGCTGTAGGGAACCTGCTTTGGCAGGGGGTTGGACTCGATGATCTCTGGAGGTCCCTTCCAACCCCTACAATTCGGTGATTCTGAGTACATGTCTGATCTGCCATTTGCAAACAGGTTTATATGAACAGAAACGTACAGCTTTATGAGGATGGCTTATTGCCTGCAGCTGTTGGTTTTGCTCTGGGGTGTCATGCACAGCACAGAGCTGAGAACAGGCACCGGGCGATGCCTGCAGCCAGAGCCATCTGCACAGCCCTTTGACCCGGGGCACTCACACCATCTCAGCACCTGCCCCTGCTCTCCAGCCCTGCTGCACGCACACATGTCCGCCACATTCAGTAGCTCCATCAGAGCTTATGGGTCTGTCCTTTCTGCAAATAGTGCCACGTTACTTCGCAGTGAGTTCAAACAGTGTGCTTATGTGAGCAGATGTACTAACAAGTGGGCTCAGGAGATCCCTGAGAAATGCATCTTCCTGCTCCTCTCCAAAGGGAGGAAGAAGTGACCTGCAGAATGGCAGCAGTCATGCAGCCAGAGCTTCTTTACACTGTGAAATCCAATTTGAATTGCAGATAAAGGAGGCACAAGATGTTACGAGCAGAAATACGTGGTTGGCTAGAACAGCACCTACCAAGAATCAGGTGGTAGTGACTGCAGGATGTGAAATACTAAACCACAAACTGGACAACATGTTGGGGGGGTCATATTTGCGAGTGATGGGCTCTTCAGAAGTCCAGTTAAGTTCACATCTCATCTAGATTTGTGTGTTGTCTCCTTTTTTCTTTTTTTAACTTGTATGAACAGCTGGGGTAGCAAGCTGTCTGAAGAGGGAGCTTGAAAGATTGTTTAAAGGATGAAAAATGTCATGTTTTCGAAAACCAGTTCCATAAAATATCTTAGGTGTAGGACTGCACTTAATTTATGCTAGCAGTGTCGGCTTAGTGGTTTGTATTTGGTAGCCAAGAAGCACACGAAGAGGCTGGGCAAGACCAAGCCTGCCTTGTTCTCTTCCCTTGGCAGTGGTTTTGTGCTCTGCGTTCTTTGAGGAGCGCTGATGTGTGGAACGCAGAGTTCTGCTCACAGTTATGCTGAGAGTGGTATTGCTGTAAAGAAACTCGCTGTGTTTTGGGGTTTTGAGGTGCTGTGTTCTATTGTCATATATATATATATATATACATATAAAGAGCTGATTGTTCTGTCGTGGGTTTTTCTATGAGCCCCCCTCGCTCTCAGAGTTGGAGGGCTGCCCTGGGAGAGCGGCCAGGCATCTCTCTAGCTTGTGCCTATGAACAGGATTAGGAGTCGCTTAGAAACTCTTGTATTTATCACGTAGAGACCAGTTACTTTTTACAAAATCGGTGTCTTAATTTGCTATTAAATATTACATACATTTTTTTAAACAGTGTATGTGAAGTCTCATTCATTGTGCTCTCCTTTTGAAAGGTGCTGTGGGCTCTCATCAGCCACATACTTCAGGGAAATGTGGAGCGCTTGGACACACACAGACACGTGGGAAGAGTGGTAGTGTGGACTCTGCTTTACAGTTTTTGGGATTAAATAACTGCCAGCAAGACAAAGGTATTTGGATTTTAGCTGTGCTGTAAGGCAGTGTGTGTTACTTGGAAAGTGTCTCTCTCTGTGCTGGCTGAGGAAATAAAAACTATGATAATTGTTCTATCCCTATTCAGAATCTTTCCATTTTTGACCTACTGGTTTCTAGGAGAAAATAGTATTTGAATGGTTTTTAGGGAAGTATCACTTAAAACGTTTGTGCTGTATTTGTATTCTTGCATCACTGAAGCTTGAAAGTTGTCTGTCAGTGTTATGCAATGCAGACTTGAAATACAGAACAGCAAACAACAGAGCTGTGTTCCATCTGCTTGAATGATTCTTCTCTTTGAAATGTAATTCTTTATAGACATGCCTGCAAGACAGCTTAGGCTCAGGCTTGGTTGACCAAATGCAGCGAGGGAATGGATGTTGTGAGGGAGAACACAGTTTGCCAATTGAAGTCAGCTGATCTGCCTGTAATCAGTTGAGTGAAGTGCCGACCTTTAGTTTTGACTTGCAGAGAGTGCTTTATTTCCTTACAAATTATTATTTTAATGGCTGTCAAAGAGGGTAATTACCACAAATAGTGCTCTTTTACTTTGCTCAGTTTGTGCCAGCCTGAATTTTTCCAGCAAGACCCAGCGAGGTGTTTGCAGCCCAGCAGAACACACGTCGTCCTCGCAAGGTACTGCTGCAAACCAGGGGGCCTTCATCCTGCCATCCTACCCTCTGACATCCCCTGGGAGCAGCCCCAAGCACCTCTCCTCTCCAGCTGAGTCCCCAAAGAAGTCACAGCATAACACCATGAGCTTCTCAAACTCCTGGCCTCTTAAAAGCTTTGAAGGGCTGCACAAGCCAAGTTCTCAAAAGCCAAGAGACAGTGCAGGTAGGAGTGTTCTTAGTATACTGAGAACTGATTTCACATTGGCTTTTAAAGTGACTGCAAGGAGCAGTTAAAAACTAGCAGTGCCAGATAGGTGGGGAGTCATGCAGTGCTCTGGCTGTAGGAGTGCTGCAGCTGCTGTGCTCTGCTCATCCCACTGGGGGCTTCTTTTTAAAAGTGTCATCTTTGTGTATCGGTAGTTTTAAATACTGACGTGTTTCATTTCTTTTGTCTTTACATATATGGGGTAGAAGATAACATGCAATGGCTCTTTTCTTATTGGTGGTGTTATCAGCAGAAGGCTTACCATCAGACTGCGATAAAATCAGACCCCAAAATCTAGCACTCTTAAGGAACGTCTCGTTACTTCTAATGCCCCAAATGATACACGTACAAGAAAGTTCTGCTCATTGCATTTTGCCTTTTCACTTCTTTATTTGCAGCTGGGAGCCTGCATGTCAGATTTCCAGCATTTAGAAAAACTCTTTAAGTTCTGTTTCCAATAAACACCTCTTCAGTGAGTGGAATCTGTATTTATTTCATCCCAATTTATACTGACAGCTAATGGCAGAGGCTCCTCTTTGTGCTCTGGTTTCTGTCTTTAGAGACCTCATGCATACATCATGTTAACCAGAAATAATTTTAAGCTTATTTAGTTACAATTATGTAACCAATTTACCAAATTTCTTTTGAGTGTAGTTGGTAAAGACAGTCTTCTTGTAGATTAAAATGACTTCAGTATCTGTTGAGCTTAAATTGATGCCCCCTCCCCCCACTCATGAAGCGTACTTTCTTTAAGCAAAATCACAGTTTCCACTTACAATTTTGCACTGATTTGAAGAAGTCTGTTCTACATATGTGCAGAAATTTGAGTCTCAACGAAGATAAAATTCAGAAGGTTTCTGAATTAATTCTTTGGAAGCCATCTGTCCTTTGAATGCGGAAAACTTTTTATCTTGAAGGTGTGTGTTTATCTCTTGATGATTTTCTGCGTATTGCCAACATTTTACTTCACTGTGTTTCTTCAGGATAACTTTATTGTTGTTGCAGCCACTTACAGTAGAATTTCTTAAGGCACCAGTCTTTTTCTCCTGTTGATTTGAATGACAAACATTTGCTGGCACTCAGCCTGACTGGATCTTCTTGAAATGTGTTTATAATAGTGAGTGCAGCCCGGTGCATCAGCGTGTTTCAAACGATAGAACTCCTCTCGTTTCAAAAGTAGCTTTCCCACGTCAGATTGCAGCGCTGTGTCCGTGCCATCTCTCCCAAGGACTGACACCTGGCTCTGTCTTATCCAGGGCAGAACTTGCAGGAGAAGCATTCTCCTCTGCAGCTGAAGCCCACCTTGGTGAGACACCCAGCATCCCGCCGGGGGCTGGCTGGGAACAGCAGGCCTGTGCCCCCCATCCCACACCTCGCCAGCCCCCTGCCCAGCAGGGCACAGGGGAGAGCCGAGCAGTGCGAGGATGCGTGGATGAATGAAGCGGGCAGGAAGCTTGCAGCTGATCTGTCAGAGCTGAGTGTCGATGACGAGGAGGTGGACCAAGAAGAGGTTTGTTTATGTGTCATTCAACACGCTTTTCCAACTGATAGATTATAAGCCAGAAACTAACACGCGTTTCTGACTCAGACTGTTTGGCACTGTCATCAGTGCAGCAGACCTGCAGTGAGGTACCATTGGGTGTCCAGCAGAAGCTAGGTAAAGCAGTGAATGCAGATTCTGAAGTACACTCGCTGTGTTTCTTCTAGGCATCTTGATTTCACTTTTTTTTCTCAGCACTGAAGTCATGATGTTTGCAGTTATTGTGGCACTGAAGCAGAACAGCAACCCTTGGTCCAAATTCTTTTGGTATTTAGGCTTTAGTGTAAATTTCACATCAGCTTTAAAATAGTACTTTCTTTAGTTAGAGGTAAGGGCCCCAAATCACTAATAACTTCATTGATGAAGGTTCTTTGGGCTCTGAGCTTCCTTAGCCTCCCAAGTCCACTGAGCAGGCTGTCTGTGGTACTCAGCACTCCCCAGCTCTCTTGGAATTCAGTTGTTTTTCATTATATAAGTGTGAGAAACTGGTGTGAAGCCGGATGAGCATGATGCCACTGCATCTGTTTCACACAGCATTGATGTGCTGGACATCAGGCTTCTGCTCTGTTTGGGGGGGCTTGTGCCTATCCCTAACACTGCCTGCTGCTGGTGAGGGATCCTAATGCTGCCTCTGTGGTGTCTGAGGGGTACTGAATGCTCTGCTCCAGTCTGGAACATAGTCAGATGCCACAGAGCTGTGACGGATTGCTTCCAGAGGTGGTGCAGCTGTGTCCACCTCGTCAGAAGCAGTGCTAATTACATGAGAAGCATTGGTCCTGTGGATGGTTGTGTTGTGTGTGGTCTTTCTCCATGCATTTGTTCTTAATTCTGTCGCAGTTGGTAGAAAATTGTTTGAGTCTCAAATTCTGCCTTTAGAATCTAAGAACAGTAGCAGTTAATGGCTTCGCTTTGCAGTCTTCTTCCATCCTGTATGCATGATTGAAAGTACTTTGAGGTGCTGAACAGGCAAGGGAAGAGTTCAGTGCCACGTGCCCATTGAATTGACAGCCATAATTTCTTTACAGTCATTAAAAACGGTCTTTTTTCATTTTCCCATCCCGTTTAGATGCAGAGTTCACTCAGATCTCTACGAAATAGCGCAGCTAAGAAGAGGGCAAAGCTAAGCAGTAACTTTTCAGAACTTGACAGCCCTGATTCTGCTCTCAAGCTCAGTCTGTCTGCAGATTCCCCTTCTCACGCTTCCTCCCCGAGCTCCTGTAGCGAAAGTGGAGCTCACAGCCAGGAGTCTCTGACCTCACCTGCATCCACAGCTCCTCGGAGAAGGAGAGTAACGTGAGTAGAACTTAGGTGTCAGCTCTGCTCTGAAAGTCTCACCCAATCCCTGCTGCCGTTAGTTAAATATTAACAAGGTTGGAATCTCTGATTCATCTTTTCAAGCAGGCTGCTATGCTGAATAACTTGATTTTTATCTGAGAATTATTTCCCAACCTAAAAAAAACACATTGCTTTTACCATCGCTGGTTAATTATTTTCTAGTTTGTGTCGGTTTTTAATTGGAAGGAGTCCCTTGGTGCAGTCAGTAACACTGCACAGTTGGTAAAATATTGGCCGTGGCAGTAAATATTTTATTAAGATTTCAGCCCGTTGTAGAAGTGATGTGAACCATAGCAGAAACAAATGAGTGAGAGGGAGAGTGGGTTAAGAGGGTGGCTAAAGTTTGCTTGCCTGGATATGGGCATGTTTTTTGGGTTTACTGGTTGTTGGTTTTTTTCTACAATGAAAGGAAAACAACATAGGTGAATCTTATTATTGCAGATCATGTGTTGCTTCCATTTAATGAACTGTTCTTAAGGAAATGAAAATGTCTTTTGAGAAATTTTACAAATTCTGCAGTACAGAATCTCCTTTTCTGCCCTAGGAGCCCTATATAATCCTAGGAGGATTAAAGTCACTCCTAGCTCTGTTCTGAGGACACCTTTTACCTTAACAGAATAGGAAAGAAAAGAGGAGATAAACAGGAAAAGTTATTGAGGTGAAAGGAGGCTGGGGATTCAGCAACAGTGAAGTCTCAGAACTCATCTATGTGTACCTGCCCTCTCCTTATGCAGTACTGCTGGTTTTTAAAATAACATGTGATAATGCTGGAATACCTGAAATGTCAGGGCCACAAACTGCTGCATGTGACCTTCTTCCAAGTCAGGTTTTGGCCAGAACGCCTCTGACTGAGTCCACATCCTGGACAACGTGCCATTGCCATTTTTGTGTGACGCACAAATTAATGTTTTACAGCATTCAGAGTTCTGGAATGCTGAGCTGGTAACAAAGAAATGACTTCTGGCAGGAAGGCTGAACTTGTAGACATGACAAACTATATCCCAAGGGCTTAAGAAGCCTTGGAATGTTCAGAGAACTTTCAGTTAGTTCAGATGCAGGCTTGCTTGCATTAGGAAAGGGCACTGTATGACCCTAAGATAAGGGCAGCTGGGCAGCAAAGCTGTTGGCTGCTTCTGTGTGTTTGCTTTTAGAAGTATCAGTTTATTCACCAATAAACCACCGTGAGCAGAGGGAGCACAATTCTCATATTAGTGATATCTCAGAAGGGTGCAAGTCTTCCATTTGTGTGCGTTTTGGTGCTTCAGTTTGGTACATGTTGGTACTTTGCTGTTTAACAGAGCAGAGCACTGGAATGAATCATCTTTAATATTCAAGCACATTACTTTTAAGAAGGGCTGTCAAGATGGTGCTGCAGATAACAGCATTTTCCTGATGATTATCTGTCTGCTAGAAACAGATCTGGAAACAGCTCATTCTTGGTAGCCACAGGGTGGTGGATTTGTTCCCTGTCATTTGCCCTGCTTGCCAGTTTGGAACCAGCAGCATCAATCCTCTAGGCCAAACAATTCCTTAGCTTTTTGAATTTATGCTCCTAGTGTAAAGCTGACCCCTAAGGGTTGTCCTTATGCTGTTCTTCATAACAGAGCTGCTCACCAAATTATTTCTACTGAATTTGTTTTGTTTTTCTACTCATTGTAGAAGTATTCTGGAAATATTTGCCTCCTGGGTTCACTGGGGAGCCAAAACTAGAATCCCTTGATGTCTTTGCTGAAAAATATTATTTAGTTAGGCTCTGACTAGCATAGAATTGTATTTCTGAAATGTCTTTTGTATTGTAACAGGTCAGACACCTTTCCACTGTTGGGAAATAAAGCACAGCCTGCAGGCATCTCTTCAGCGAGGAGCAGAGATGCAGATGTGGCAGAGCATAACTCAAGGCCAGGTATTCCACCGTGCTTATGAATGTATTCTGTGCTTCACCGACGTGACAGAATAGTCAGTTGATTTCACTTTGCATGTTCTTGCTTGTTCAAATGAATTTGTGCTCCTTGAGCATTAAGACAAGGTAATTGCTAGGCAGTATGTGGTCAAGTTGAGGTTATGCCGTGGAACTGCAGGCAAGGAGAGGCTTAAGGATTTCCTCCTTCCTGTGTCAGGATAAATTGTGTTAATGGAAGTGCTGCCTGTGAGGATGTACATTTCAAAATTCATAAGTGTGCAGCTTGCAAATTCATTGGATGCCAGCAGAGAAGAGTAGGAAGGGTCAAAAGGCTGCAAGCAGCTAATTTCCTGGTAGGAAATTGAAGTGATGCTACTGCAGGTAACTGCAGATTTCTGTCATGGGCAGAAATGAATTGCTTATGATTATGTATATTGAATTAATTCTGGTTCAGTTAGAAGATGTTTCCTTAGAGAGAAGACGAGTGGGAGCCGTGCTCTTGAAGTCCTTCTGCGTTCTTTCTTCCCAGTGTCTCTCTGACGCAGCCCTCAGCAGCTCTGCATTTTTCCCCCAGGGTTACAAGGCATGGTGTGATTAAGGCTGGGGGACATCTTACAGGCCCGAATTTGCCCAGCCATCCCCATGGATCAGTCTTTGTCACAACCAATACTGACAGGTTTTTTTCAGTTCCTGAGGTTAATGAGGTCTCATTTGAGATAAAGCTGTTTTCCTCTTTTCTCAGGATAAATTAGAAAATAGGTTTGTCAAGTGACAGCTGAAGTCAGAGAGCAAACACTGCATACACACAGTGGTATGTACTGTGGTTAATGATTTTTGCATTCCTTATGTGAAAAGATCTTCTGTGAGAAGTTCACCTTCAGCATAAGATGATGAGCAGCACATTCATTTTGCTCACTGAGCCATCTGCTCGTAGGAATGCACAGTGCTGGACCTCCTGTGAAGGGCTGCCTCTCTCCTTTACTGATAAGGTCAGCCTAATACCTGTGCAGCTGGCTGGTTGAAAGTCTTTTACTTCCCCTGCTGCCTGGCCATGGCCCATCTCACAGGTCGGAGCTCTGACTGCTCCCAACTTCCACACTGGGAGAATTTCTATAAATCAGTTTGATATTTAACTTTTCTCACTGTATTGAAGTTTTTTTTCCTCACACCAAACCTAAATTCCCCTTGTTGTAACTTAATCCCATTACTTTTTCTATTTTACTGCACAGAATTTGAATTAAGAAAGCATTACTGCAAGCAGCCACTTTCAGGCTGGATGTGGCTCTGGGCAGCCTGGGCTGCTGGTTGGCGACCTGCACACAGCAGGGGATTGGAGCTGGGTGAGCACTGTGCTCCTTTGCAATACACTTTTGATGCACCAGAAGATATTTTTCTTCTCCCTTTCATCTTCTATACTCTGAAGTAGCTTCTGTTTTTTCTACCTTCCCTCCTGAGGTCCAACATCACAGCTGCTGTTCTCCAGGCTGTTTTCAGCAGATCTACAGAGCTCTTTCTTGAAAATGCAGTACTTGTTATGCACTTAGAGTTGAGAGGAGCCAAAGGACTGCAACACGTACCTGTGCACGTATCCCTCTATAATGTTTACCTTTTTTCTACTTATTTTCCACCCCAGTTTTGTATGGCTCATCACTTGTGCCTGTAGCTGGGGTGATTTGTCTGACCCATGTAATACATGTGGGTGATTGTGTGAAGAGCTGCTCCCTATAAGTATATATATATACTTATATACCGAGATATAACCCTATCTCGGTTGGTTGCAGAGGATGTAGAAGGCTTAGATAAGTTAGGGTTATATTGCTGTAGAACACACACAATAAGTTGAACAGGTTGTAGCAGCTGATGCCCTAAACCCATCTGTCTGCCAGCAGCTGGTGCTGCAGTGCTGCTGGACGGGATGCAGCATGATGGGATGCTCCTGGGCTGCAACCCGCCGCCTCTTCTGCTCCACGTTGAGCAGCTCCAGCTCTCTGGCAGTCTCCCAGTGCAGCTGGTAATGGAAAGATTTCTTATGTTTGTAATTAATTATGTTCATTTGGAACTTGGGTTTATCTGTAGATGACAAACATTGTATGAGAAAGATGAAGGAAGCCTGAGAGCCTTGTCAGACTTTCATAAGCAAGAATTCTCCTACCATTGGCTAAAAGCAGCCTGGGAGCCTCTGGGAATGTAACGCTTTGAGAACGTGTAGTACACCAGAAGCACACTCAAAGGTTCTGTTCATACGTGGCTTCTTCTTTCTGCGTGGTTCACATTTGATGCTAAAGGGACTTCTGGTGTTAGTGCAGTTGGCCAATGCTTGTACTGTGGCAGTGGGTGTGGAGCTTTGAGGACAAAAGCAAAGAGAAATGCCATGGACTCTAATTAAGAATCAAAATACGGAGGAACGAGGAAATCTGAAGCATTCCATAGGTTTGTAATTTTGCTACGTTGCTATTTGTGTAAGTTCTCCTTTGTGGAGGCTTTCTAGAAAATGCATTTCAGGGTGTTTGGTGTGGTTTTTATTCTTACTGTAATAGTTGGGCTTTTTGGGCATTAGTTAACATTCGAGTGCCAGTTAAGTCCTAACAGAGATAATAGACATCATGAGAAAAGGCCAAACATTATTTCTTTCAGTCTGAATGCATGAAGAGCTTTGGAAGTTTCTGTTTCTAAAGTACTCTGTTGGTTGTTGGTAAAATCAAGGAACTCAAACCTTTATGTATTTCTAAATTCATCTTTTCTGCTTAGAAATTTCAGATTATGCAAGTTAAATTGCAAAAGCAAGTGGTGGTTAATTATCAAATGTGGCTAATAAATAAGCATATAAAATATCCTATCTCCTTCCATGGGGAATCTGAGGAAATGCAGGTTGCTGTGGGAAACATTCAGTGCTGCATAGGAAAAATAGTTCTGCATTTTCAGTTTTGATCATGGAATCCTAGAACAGCCTGGGTTGCACAGGAGCACAGTGCTCATCCAGCTCCAAGCCCTGCTGTGTGCAGGTCGCCAACCAGCAGCCCAGGCTGCCCAGAGCCACATCCAGCCTGGATGATGCAGTGGTGCTGGATTAGTTAAGAACCAGTAAGAACCATTTCTGCACTTACAGTCCGTCTAATAGGAACTGCTGCAGTGGGGTTTCAGGGAAACCAGTTGATGTAAAACATTTAACCTCCCGTTACAAACGTTGGTTGTCCTTCCTGTTTTTAGGCAGAGATCTTTTCTCATACATGCTTTCCATCATCTTGAGGATGCTGGTGTTCATTAAAGCCTGTGAGTGTCAGTAACTTGAAAATAAGTCAATACGTGGAAGTCATAAACTGGAATGTCAGTGTATGGTGATACTTGGGAAGAATAAGAGATGTACAGCAGGGTGAGCAGCCTTCCAGGTGTGCAGTGGGTGATTTTGTGTTCTGATCTGCAGTGTTGGCCTGTAGCTCCCAGCAGCTGAGCAGCCCAGATTCCATTTCACCCAGTCTGCTGCCTGAAGATGTGGTCGAAATCGTTGGTAAAGGTATGGAGAGAACTAACTTAGCTCCCACATCTCGTGTTTTTAAAATGGTGGAAAGTACACTTTTGTAAGGAGGCAGAAGGAGAAACAGATCCTTAAAACATTTTAGATTTTCAACAGTCTCCAGTTTAAATGAAAATAAAGAGAGATGTACCTGAAAGTTCTGCTTGTGGTATTCCATTCTATCAAGAAAAGAATGGCAGCAGATTTATGAAGGTTGGTTTTTGCTTCTTGCCTAGCCTGCCCTCCAATGTGGGCATCCCTCCTGCACGGGGGGATAAGGTAAGATTACCTCTGGCTGGAAATTGTCACTCATGGTTCAACAGCAATGCTTTTGTCTTCTGGAATAAATTTCGTTTTGCTTTGTGGTGTTTGGTTTTGTTTTGTTTTGTTTTTGCTGAGTTCTGCTGAATGAAATAACTACTTTGGTAAGGGCATGACACAGTATGCCTTTCAGGTGTGTTTGGAAGTCCTCCTCCTGCACAGGCACAGAGCCAGACTGTAACGTGTGTAGAGAATGGAGATGACCAGTCTGTCCAGGAGCCTGAGCCATCGCCGGCGTTCTGTGGGAGAAGCATCCAGCATGGCAACACTTCTCACTCCCGTGCTGAAAATGAGAGAGAGGTAGAATCTCAGGGCTGTTTTATTGTCTCACCTCTTGTTTCTGTATGTGTGAATACAGCACAATACCTGTATTGTGGTAAACAGCAGTTTGATTAAAATACATGAATTCACAACTCAGGTAACTTGTAACAGAATTCACATCCTTTCATTTCTGTTATTTGTGGAGTTCCAGCTGTAAGGTGAAGACTAAAGCTGGATTAACAAAGAGATGCTTTTGTGAACATGTGGCTGCATTGCTGCACTGACTGCTGATTTTGTAAACGATAATCAGGGCACAGTCATTTTCTTCTGATGTTTGCAGGATGTTACATCGGACCCAAAAGAACTTTCTTATTACTCAGTGCTATTTCTCTAACAGTTGTTAAAGACTGAATTACATTTCTGTGTAATGCAACTTACTGCAGTGTCCAGTCGAAATAAGACAGCAGCGTGGTGTCATCGTTGCTTGCTGGTAACATAGGAGATAAATTTGACCTTAGCATGGAACTTGTGTTTGCATCTCAAACAGGCTGTTACAAACAACACCAGTTACCAGTACTGATGGTAGCAAATTAAGTGAACTGTGTAAAGCGTTTGTGTGATCCTCTGATGTTTTAGACTAAAAAAAAATGGGGATGTTTTGAAACACTGTAGAGCTCTACTAACATTTGCTGGTATTTCATTAATGGATCTTGAGACCCGTTTTCAAGGCTATGCTGGGGTTGGAGCAGGGCTCTGAACCATGTATTTGCTGTCTCGGATGGATGATTAAGTTACACCTTAAAATCTGATCTTTGTGTAAGTGATTGGGGATGCAACAAGTGCAAAAAAAGTGGTTTCCTGCCTGACTGCAGGCTGATGGTGTGAGCACGTCTGTTAGTGCAGTGTGAGCCATGAAGGCTCTGCATGTGTGCAGCCCCAGGCTGAGCCCAGTGGCTTTGTAGTGACAAATGGTGGTGTCAGAAGTTTCCACCTCTCCTGAGGGCTCTGGGAGGAGGGCTGCAGGATGGAGTGGGGATGGGAAGTTTTTGTGGGAACTGTAAGCATCATAAGGATACAAGAGGCAGGTGTGAGGCTGCACTGCTGAACACTGCTTTTAAAAGCCTGTGAGCTTCAGTGTGAGCTAAATTGGTGACTTAGATCTTTAGGAAACAACACAAGGCTGACAGAGAGATGGCAGACTGTCCCATAGAAACCTTATGCTTGCTAGGTAGCTTTGTGCTCTCTATCAGGTTTTGTGTCACAACGCGTTCGTTACTTTCTGTAGGTAAAAGTGACCATGTCAAAATCTGCCCAGGATAAGATGAGGCAGAAGAAAAAGGAAAGAAAAGAACAAAGTCACAAGGAGTATCAGGAAGTCAAAGACCTTGAAGAAAAGGAAAAAAGTCCTTGGGAAAGACTGAACCTGAATGAACCCAAGAGCACAACAGCTGACAGTGAGCAGTGGTTTTGTGTTAAATCGATAATGTGCTATTAAATGCTGCAGAAGTTGAAATGAAAACTCTGTGATAATTACTAAAAATGATGACAGTGTGACAGAAGGTATCACTGGAGTGAATTTTAGACAGCAGGTTATTCTTTAATCATTTGCATTGTACTGTGAGTAGTGCGGAGTAAAGCACTAATGGAAACATTTGAAACACTAGTTAAAAAAATAGTCAAAAACCAATGAGGATTGGAAGCAGTAGTTTTTTTCCTTTTGCTGAATTGCTGTTGCTGTAGTTTTAACATTTATTTTCTAGAGTTAAATCTCCATGGGGATATATTGGCACCATCAAGAAGTGTGTCACTGTCATTAGAAAATGTTGCCCCGAATACTTCACTAAGAAGAACATCCAGTTTGAAGAAGGCAAAATGTTCAGCCTTGCTAGACTCTGGTAAGCTCTTGCATTGAGTGACATATAAAGACTGTTAAAATCCTTGGGTACGTGGAGTGGGACATTTGCAGAGTGCAGTTGGTTTAGTATGACTTGTTTGTACAGAGGATTGCCTGCGATCCTTTGGGAGATTGCTGTGTTGGGAATGGTTGTGAAGGAGAATAGAATTCATCACTCTCCTTGGAAACTATTTGCATCCAAAATTTGGTAGGAAGATGTTTGCAATGTGAGAGGGTTTTTTTTTTTTATTCACTCAGCAACTTCAGTGATGCAAGGAATTAATGGCAAGTGGACTCTTGTAACCTTCTCCCTCCCAGAAAAACATTTCTGGGAACATCTTGTCACTGAGATGCCTTCAAAATACACAGCAAAACCCTCTTCAGAACAGGTTCCTGTTGGTAGCAGTCAAAGCTCTAGAGTTTCCCAAGTGACCCTGTAAGTTCTGCTCTGTTGTCTTGCCACGCTGTGCATCAGCTTTTCCATCTAGAACAATGACTACTGCATTTGTGTTTGGGACTTTTTGAAGTGATGGTTCTGTACAAAACAATTACATCTGCTGAATGATTGAGGGTGTGACTGGGAAAACTGCCTTTGAAAACGTGGTCCCTTTGTAGCAGCCATCTGAATGCAAGAAGCTGGAGGTGCGTTTTCTTCCTGTGGATGAATTGTTTCCTCGTGGTTGTGCAGTGTTTGATGGGCCTCCTGGCTTTTCAGATGAAATTCCTCTAGGGCCTCGAGGGCGCTATAAGGAGCGGACGCCATCGGTCACCCACAGCCCTGAAGTGATGGACCCTTCAGAACTGGAGCCCTTTGCAAAGCCAGAGGCAGCCCTGACAGAAGCCCTGGCGCTCCTGGCTGACGACGACTGGTACGTGCAGACTTCTTACCTGCAGCCCAGTGCACTGTGGAAGGCTTTGTAAGGCTGTCGTTTGATAGCTTGCTTTTAAAAGCACTGCAAGGTGCCGGAAACATCAAATGCAAGAAATGATTACAAGTGATAGGTGAGAAAGTTTTTTAATCCAAATCGAAATTAAACTGCTGTTAAGTCCTGATGGAGCAGTGCTGTCCCTCATTGCGGGGGAGCTGGACTGGATGGCTTTTAGGGATCTCTTCCAACTTGAAGGATTCCATGAAATTAATGAATCTAACTTAAATGCTGTAAATGGAGGCCTAATATTTAAGCTTTCACAAATTTTTAGCATCCCTTCTTGTCATTTTCTGTTAAATATAAAGCTTCACCAGTTCTCTAACTGGTAGGCTGGGGCTACAGTGCTGTTCCTCTTTAATTTTAGAGGGAAAATAATCCTCTAATTGCCACTACTGCGAGCAGCAGGCAGAATTTAAAGAGATGAGATGATTCCCTTCCCACATTGAAGGGAAGACTTGCCTCAGAAGAATTTTCCATGTTACATATCCTTGCTTTATTCTACGACATAACTTGGTTTGCTATTTGGTTCTTCATTGTTCTGCTTTCAGTTCTTCTGTGGGACATTTGCAAGTGTCTTGAGTTTAGATGTTCTCCGTTCTCTTTGCACAGGGAGAAGAAGATTGAAGGTCTGAACTTCATTCGGTGTTTGTCTGCATACCACACAGCTGTGCTGACTGGGAAGCTCCACGAAACAAGTTTGGCTGTGGCTCAAGAGGTTAAATTTTTAGTAGCAGAATATTTCACTGACAGTGTATACAAATGTATGTACTTCACAGCCGTGAGATGCACTGGAGTGAAATGCTATGTTCACCTATGATTAGCTCTCCTCTGTCTCACAAGGATGAGTTTGTAGTTCAGCAGAGCAGCTCATGCATTGGATACCAACAGCTTATTTGCTAAAAGACTGTAAAGATTTACAGCGTAACGTTTTTGAGTGCATGTGTTTTAATTCTCACAGCTTGTGAATCGAGTTAGAAATGTATTTCTCATTTGCTTTTGAAGTTACTTGAAAAGGGAAACGTGAAGCTTTTCTGATTTTTACGTTTATTTTATAAACATTATTCATTGTTTGTTTGGGTTTTTCCTGTGTGCAGGTCAAGAATTTACGCTCAGGTGTTTCTCGAGCTGCTGTGGTCTGTTTAGGGGATTTGTTCACCTACCTGAGAAAGAGCATGGATCAAGAACTAGATAATACAGTAAAAGTCCTTTTGCACAAAGCTGGTGAATCCAACACATTTATAAGGGAAGAGGTAGACAAAGCACTGAAGGCTATGGTTAATAATGTGACTCCAGCACGTGCACTTTGTTCTCTTATAAATGGAGGGCAAAGGTAATTCTTACAAAGACTTTATAAAGAACTAACTTATGAATAGATTAAGTATATCAAATATAATCATTAAAAAAGTATATCAAAACATAACAGGCAGAAAATGGGAAATGCAATAAGCAAAGCTGCTGCCCAGGGCAACGTTTGTTGGCGTGAACGTGACATTTCTTTTTGTGCATTACTGCTGATTGTGGAGCTTGCCGTGTTTTCTGGTGGTTTTGCAGGATTTCAGTGATTTTATTCAACGTTAATATAATACTCTTAGGAAACTGCTGGTTTGCTTTGTCTAATGAAGCTCACATGGCATCCTCACGTGCCATTCATTCTGCAATGAAATGCCTGTCTTTTTCAGTTCTTCAGCATTACTTTCTCTTTAAAAGAATGATCTACAACTTTCAGTTCTCTAGCTGCAATCATCTTGGCTGATTTCATGTTGTTCTCTATACATTGCTGCTTAATAGTCTTTCTCTGTCTGCGTTTAATTTCCTTTACAGTGGTGACGGCCTTTATTTTCTTGACTGCCTCAGATATGACAAGCTTCCATTTCTGGCTCCATGGTTTGTGATTCTGATCTCTAGCTCGCTCCAATCTGTAGCAGGAGTTACATTCTTGTCTTTCACCCTACCTGCTAAGTATGCTGCTGTTCTTTTATATCCTCATTTCCTGCAGTACCAAGACTTAACTGAGCCATGAGGTGTTTCAGTATGGTAGCTTTATCCCTGCTTCTATTTAATCTGCTGCGTATCTGTCATCACTTAGGTTACAAGAAATTCATGTCTGTCCTTTGCATTAAATATTTCAGATGCTCCATGATAAATCAGTCCACAGATTTGTCACATAGCTAGAACCATAGCAGTTAGTTTTGATTCAGAATACTTTGTTTCTCATTTTGTTTCTGGGGAAGCTCGTTGCTTTGGAATATTCTGATTCTGTCTCTGAAAGCCAACGAGAACCATACTTCAATTATTTGAACTTCAAACTGAAAGGCAAATATCTGCCTTAGCATTTAGATGATTTAAGAAATGTGCCTGCATGTAGTCATTTGGGAGAATTTAAGAGCAGCAGGCAGTAATTGTGCACTGCTTTAAGTCAGAAGCCATGTAATGTGGTGCAGTTATTACTCACTCAGGTACTCCATCCCTTTTTCAGATGTCCTTGGCTAAGCAGTGCTGCTGATTGTAATTGCCTGAATCTGATCTCCCTGTCTTCAGCAGCAGATTCAAACTCACAGACACGTCCTCATGGGGTCTACGAAGATCTGACCCCCAATTTGTGAACTCAGGGACACTTTCAGATACTTCAGGCATCAGAATTATCTGAACTGAGTCTGAATACAGCATTTGAAGTGGGGATTAATTTCATCGCAGCTAAGAAGCCATCAGTGCAAACTGACTAAATCATGGGGTACAGTTTGCATTTCATGCATGGCACAGCAGTGGATGCCCTGCGTAGCACTGTCAACTTCTCTAATCCAGGCTTCAGGAAACTCTGCCCACATTGGCACCAAAGCCTGTGTGGCACATCTGCAGCCATCATCTCTATGGTCAGTAACAGTAAATATGGATGATAACTGTCTTCCCGTGTGGAAATTTGGAGGGAAAACGGGATGCACCTTCACTGCAAAATGGGGAAGTTGTGTTTGACACAGCTGCGTGATCACAGAAATGATGTATTTTCTAAATCCATTTTATACATTTTTCTTCTATTCCCCATCACTGTTCAGGTTAACAGGTATGATTTTTGTGTAGAATTTATAAGACCTTTTTAAAATTCACCCATTTTCTGCTAAACCTGTCTCAAGCCTACTGATCATAAGTATTACCCTTGTAGCCCTGAGCAGGCCCATGTGCCGAGTCTTCATCACCTACAGAACTGGTTCTGGCTTTACCAACAAGAGCAATCTGAAACATTTTTGTTTGCTTTCATGAGTTGCTGCTCTAAACACAGGATAACTGCTGCAAGCTCACCTCACTGAGCAGATTCTTGATTCACGGTTGTGCTTTCAGAACAAGAAATTTTAAAACCACGTTTCTTATCTGTACGAATATTGCTTAATTGCAGGATTTGATATGCATGGGACACAAATTCCTGCTGTTCTGCATGAGCAGCAGGTGCCTGTGGGGGATGGGGACTTGGTTTTACTGAGCGGAGTCTTTAAGCCTCGTAGCTGTTGTTTTCCCACCAGCACATACAGCAGGAGATAGGCTGTGTCTGTTTCCCTTCTGCCAAGCTCATGAGCACTGGGGCTGCTGTACAGACATGGCAGCAGGCACTGAGCTCTGGTATTAAGCTGCACAGAGCAGCTCAGACCGTAGCTATGTTAACACAGAACTCAGCGTGCTGGCTGCCAAGTTACTTCATAGATCTCGTGGCCCGAGCTGCTTTTGGAGTTGCAACATATTCAGTTTTAATAGAGGCTGTTAGCTGTCTTTATGCCAATTGAAGGTGCTTTGTGCAACGTAAGGATATCTTCACCTCCAATGAGGCCATTACATTTATGGTACAAATCCTTCTGAAGCAGGAACAGTCGCTCAGGAAGGACATGGGATGGCTGCGTCAGGCTGAGAAGCAGGGGAAGCCAGTAAGGTGGATAGCAAGGCCACCCTTTTCCTTAGCTCCTTCCCTTAGACCTGGTGTTCCTTTGGAACAAGCCATAGTGGTGCCTCATTTACTGTGCACTAAAACTGTCCTTAAAACCCGGTGGTGAAAATAGAGTTGGAAAGCTCCAAATCTGCAGAACTGCACACTGAACACAGGGGATCAGCGGGTACTGCAGGATTTGTATGCAGGATTAGTTTGTTGCAAAAGTTTGGACATTAATTCCGAGTTTTTTCTGATTTTTACCAGCATAAGAATGTAATGTCCTCTGTCTTATAGAAAACAGGCTTCTGCAAGGCTTTTAGAAGTCAATAGAATACTGCTTTATTTAATTTGAAATCGATATAAATGATATGGGATTTCTGTCTGAACGTGGGGATTTGTTTCACATAAAGTTGGTGGCAGGAACGTGTAGCGGTGAGCTTTCCAAAATATTTCACTAACGTAGGAAAATTTAGACAATAAATTCTCACAGAAAAGAATGAGCATCTTTAGTAATTTAAAAACTGCAGGATTCTGCCCTGTGAGAGGATAAAGGGCTGCAATGGTCTTTAACAAAAAGGAGGTCATCTTTCTTTTTCCCTTCTGCATTCATGTAGCTTGGGATTCTGTGTGAGTGAAATGATGCTTTCTGATACTTAGCCCCATGAGTTATCCTTTTAAATGAAGCTACCAGGCTCTGTATTTTCTGTAAAGCCAGAATAGGTATCTGCATATCAGCACTATGCTTGTTGTAGATTATGCTATAGAATAAAAGAGTGCAGCCGTGTCTGTTAGGGTGCATAAACTCTGTTAGTTAGCTGCTGCAATGAGCTCTTACTAAGCAGTCGTGTTCTCTTCAGCCATCTGCATACAGCCGTGAGAAGATGCACAGCCCAGCACATGGCAGATGTTGTAGAACGTATGGGAGCAGAGTGGGTGCTGTCTGGAACCAAAGGTGTCACTGATAGGACTTTCTCTGCGATTGCCAGGTTTGCACTGGATAGTTCACAGCAAACAAGGTTAGTAGAGTCAGTAATTCAGCAAAGCATACTAGAGGTGGCTGAAAACATCTGCACAGCTCAGTGTATGGTTCTCCACAGTGATAAATGGCTGTTAAGATAATGTGTTGGGAACTACCTGGATGTCTCCTGCAGCTGTGCCCACGTGGCAGCAGGAAAGAGGGAATCAATGGATGAACTCTTCTGGCCATGTGCCCTACACAGGCCATGCTGGGGATCTGAGCTCTAGGATCAGTGTTATGCACTGGCACAGGTTGCCCAAGGAGGCTGTGGATGCCCCATCCCTGCAGGCATTCAAGGCCAGGCTGGATGTGGCTCTGGGCAGCCTGGGCTGCTGGTTGGTGACCTGCACACAGCAGGGGTTGGAGCTGGATGAGCACTGTGCTCCTTTGCAACCCAGGCCATGCTGTGATTCATGCTGTCTGACTGGCAGAGGTGGACCACCCTGTCTAAATACAGCCAATGCTTGAACACTAAAATGGAAGACTGTCTCAAGACTGTTTCTCAGTCTTCAATTTGCTGAGTTGTTGATCAGATAATGATTGTTGATCAGAGTTTCTTTGGGGAAAAATGAAAGGGTGTCTGGTTACACATATAGACAGATAGCAATCTTTTTGCACTTCTCTGTTTTGAAGTTACATTTGTCTAAACATACAGATCAGTGCTCACAGATGTGTGTGCCATGGTCTTTTGCCCTGCAGGTATTATGGTCGAAAGATGCTTTTCTGCATGATGACTCATCCTGATTTTGATAAAACACTTGAAAAGTATGTGCCAGCCAAGGATTTACCTTACATTAAGGAATTTGTTAACAATCTACATCAAAAGGTATGTAGAAAAGCTTGTTTAACAGGTGAGAAACACAAACTGTACTAGTGGTTTTTAGGTATGAACATCGGACCTGTAGAGAATGGGAGGAGCATATTCAGGTGAAGACAGGTGATCAGATTAATACAGGGATTGTTACCTGACCTGTCCATACCTTTAATCCTTGCAGATACACTGGATCCTCTGTGCTTTGCTGCTGTGCTTTGCATGGCTGTTAGACTTGCCTCTAAAGAGTCTCCAGTGCTGCAGAACGTACCAACCAACTTAATAAGTAGTTCCATCTTTGTGCAGGGTTTGGGAGAGATGCCATTAGACACACCCTCAGCAAAAGGAAGACGTTCTCATACTGGTAGTGTTGGACATTCGAGGTCATCGTCTACTTCCAGAGATGCTCTCAACATCACTGACAGGTAATGACCTTCCTGAATATTCTATCCTGTGAACTGATCTCTAGGAGAATGATCTCGTGATGAGAAATGAGCACTGAAAGGTTCACAACAGGGTTAAACATAGGAGAAGAAAATGAGAAAACTGGACGTGTCCCGAGTAAGTTCTTTCAAATAGGATAATTGCTAATATGAAAATGGCTTTCTGCATTTTGAAATTAATTTGTTTGTTGACTGCCTGTGAAAATGCACAGAGTGTGAAAACAAAAAACAAAAGAAACCCAAACACTGGCAGCTCATGGTGGGTCCTTCATTTCAAGATGTTGCCATCCAAGCTCTGCACAAACACCGTGCCTAGGAGTAGCTTCAGTAAGAATTGTCTGTAGTGCCTTTGGACGCTAAGTATTCGGTTAAATTCTGACTGGGGATGCTGAAGGCTTTACACCATCCTCTCTCCTTTTTTTTGTTTTCAGTTTTGGTTTCTAACAGTTCTTCTATGGATCTGAAAAAGAGGGAAAAAAAAAAAAGCACGAGAGACTCAAACCAGGCCAGAACATCTGTATCTGAGAATATAGAGTTCATCGGCTCTGTGACTGCCTCTGGGCTTAGGGTGTCTTTCAGGAACAGATTGCTTTCAGGCACTATCTGCTATTCAGAATAATTAATTCCAGGCTTGTTAAGATTTTCTTTTTGCTTTTGCATTTGCCCTTACGCAGAAAGGGAATGTCCAGGACTAACGACTCGTTTCAGCTTGCTGATGTATTTGCTGAAGTTCTTCCTTTCCGCAGAGAGGCTACAGAAGCACGCGAAGTCAGTAGAAAACCAGTTCCTCGTAATTCCCTGGAAAGTGAAGAATATGTGAAGGACATCGTAGGTTTATTGAATGCCAAAGACTTCCGGGATCGAATAAATGGCATTAAACAACTGTTGTCAGACACAGAGAACAATCAGGACTTTGTTGTTGTGAACATTGTGAAGGTAAGCCTATGACAGCTTCTGAGTTAGAAGGCTTTTAAAATTCCATCACAGAATTTTCTGCTAAAAATCATCATTTCTTCTTTCGGTAACAATGTCTGATTAACAGGCAAGTACTGAGGGATGGGTCAGGTGTGCTTTGAGAGGAGAGATGTAAGCTGCAAAGGTAGTAAAGGCAATAAACGGGAGGAAGAAGTTGGAAGCTTTCACCTAGACAGCAGTTACAGAAGTATTTCTGGAATACTGTGTGCTGCTGCTGAGAAAATACCAAAATAGGAGCAGGTTACAGGCAGAGCAGGAAGGATAAAGCAAGGTATGAGACATTGTCACAGACAGCTGCAAGTTTTGTTAGCTTTGTTAATCTTGGAGAAAGTGAGGAAGGGTCTTCATTGTAATATAACAGCTTAGGGTGAGTATCCTTTCCAGGAGAAGAAGAGTTCCTTGAGGAGAAGAGAAATACTGTGGTGATGTCCAACGGTTGTGAACTGCAAATAGAATGAAAGTGGGATTGACTTTTAGCAGTGCAATGCCTTTGCTGTAAATCAATAAAATACGGCTGTGAAACGTCCTGGTATCTTAACTGTGGATGTTTTTTAAATCCTTAAGATGAGATTCCTGTTGTGAAGAGGTGAAATTTAGAGTGGTGGGCTTGATCTAGGAACAAGAAGATAGACACAGTGGGAACAAATTGTAAGATGTCCAGACCAGGTCTTTTCTGTCAAGGTTGCCTATTCCTAATGCCTCTGAAAAGCGAAAAAATCCCCTACATTTTAGCATGTTATTGCATGTCTTGTAGCAAGGCTTAGGCGTTATAATAGTAGGGTTTATTAATTATTAAGATAACCATGTCACCGTGTGCTACAGAAGGCAAGTCAAACACATTTCAAAGATACTCCTGGATGTCCTTTTTGCCAAGTAGAGCTGCGTCTTGTTAAAAATAATTGCTTGCAATACTGAAAGTTACAGATGGTTGGTATACTTGTAGTACATTGTAGAGCAAAGCCTGAAATTCAGATAAAGTTGGTTGGGTCCTGCTGAGGCATCCACAGTATGAAAATAAACAGCGAGCGTTGGTTTACTTGCTAAAAAAATAATCCCAAGTATTTGCATATCAAAGCCATCTTTTGCTATGGTGAACCACTGAAGCGTAACAAAAAAGCAGGAGACATGAAATCCAGCTCAGATATTCATTAATTCAGATGAATGCTGTTTGGATACGTTTTCAGATCTTCGATGCTTTCAAGTCTCGCTTACATGACTCAAACAGCAAAGTCAATCTGGTTGCTTTGGAGACAATGCACAAGATGATTCCATTGCTGAAAGACAATTTATCACCAGTTATCAACATGTTAGTTCCTGCAATGGTAGATAACAACCTAAACTCCAAAAATCCAGGGATCTACGCAGCTGCAACAGATGTTATTCAGGCTCTGTGCCAACACTTAGGTAATCTATTTTCTCTTCAGTTTAAAGAGTTTTAATTGCATTACGCTTTAAATGTAAAGAGTTGCTCTTTTCAATAATTTCCATTCAATCATTACCTTGTTTAATGCATCCTTGCTTTTATTCTCATGCATTTTAAAGCATGCAAGTCATCATAGAGTAGACTTGTCCTAACTGTGTAGGTGGGTTTGTTATGTTTGCTTAGCAAGTCTGTCATCACCCAGCAGCATGTCAGAATACTGAAGCTCTAAAGCAGGCCAAAGAAGGAGACTTGGGGATCTGTATATGGCACAACTGTTATCATTCCTTAACTGTTTTGGCCTTGGAGCAGAAAGTTACTATTTTCATTAAAAGGAAAATGCTGCATCTTACCAGTGTTGGAGTTAGGGGTTGTTAAGATGATCCTTTTATGGTTGTATTTCCTTAAATAAATTACCTTTATTCTTGGAGTTAATGCATCACAAGTTACTGTTACTTAGTTACTGTTTTTTTAATATCGTGTTTGTTTCCAGAGTGTTTAATTTTGTTTACAATTCTTAATTTGTTTTGTTCTTTGAATTTAGACAGCTATTTGCTTCTGCAGCCATTCTGCACAAAAGTCCAATTTCTGAATGGAAAAGCAAAACAAGACATCACTGAGAAGCTTGCTGGTAAGGTGCTGCTTTGTTTTGCATGTTTGTTTGTTTGTGTACCATCCTAGCTACGCAAACTCCTTGCAGGATGAGGTGGTTGTGTATCTGCCACAGTGCACTGTGACCATTAACAATATATCTGTTGTCAAATTTCACCCCCTCATAATGCTCAGTGAAGCTAGTACTGACAAAAGAAAAGATTGTTCTGTTCTGTGTAATAATAGAATTGCTCAGGTTGGAAAAGACCTTAAGGATCATCGAGTCCAACCACAGCCCGACCATCCTACCCTAACTCTAAGAACATCACGGCCCTGAGCACCACATCCAAACGGTTTTTAAGCACATCCAGGGATGGTGACTCAACCACCTCCCTGGGCAGCCCATGGCAGAGCTTCACAGCCCTTTCTGTAAAGAAGTGTTTCCTGACATCCAACCTAAACCTCCCCTGCTGCAACTTGAGGCCATTTCCTCTCGTCCTGTCACCAGTGAGAAGAGACAGCCCCGCTCTGCTGCAATCACCTTTCAGATATTGGAAGAGAGCAGTCAGGTCTCCCCTCAGCCTCCTTTGCCCCAGACCAAACAGCCCCAGTTCCTTCAGTCTCTCCCCATAGGCCACATTCTCCAAGCCCTTCACCTGAGAGAAGATGAAAGGCGTGTTTGTAGGGAAAGCTGATAACTTTTATTGGACCACTCATGTTGCTGCAAAAATGGACAAGCTTTTGAGCACGGCCTTCCTTCATTAGTTGCTGTGAAAAGATGCTTTGACTTTCAGTACTTCCACACCTCTCTCAGGGCAGGGGCTCACTTCTGGGCTGTACGTTACAGTAGTCCCCAGTGATAATAAATAACTGCTCTCTTTCTTGCAGACCTGGTTGTGGAGCTGTACCCACGGAAGCCTCACGCTGTAGAGCAGAAGGTTTTAGTCGTCCTCTGGCACCTCCTGGGCACCATGACCAGCAGCGGCTCTCTGCCCGGAGCAGGAGGAAACATCCGGGCAGCCACAGCCAAACTGTCCAAAGCACTTTTTGCACAGATGGGGCCGAGCCTCCTTGCTCACGCTGCAGCTCAGCCACCGCACATCAAGAGGAGTTTGGAGGAGTTCCTGGAGATAGCCACCTAACCAGCGGGCCGCCTTGGGCCGAGGGGGCAGAAGATGGCAGTGGATGTGGGGCGGCCCTGGGCTGCGTTCACTTGGCCCAGGAGCTGCTGTCGGGGTCACCGTGGGAGTGCTGGCGCGGGCTGCACTGCTGCCCTCAGCGCTGGGTCCTGCGAGTGCCGCACCTCGCACGCAGCCGGAGGGGAACCGGCTGATACCGCATCCAGAACGCAGGGCTTGGTGCGCCAACAGTGAACAACAGCTTTTTTTCACCCCCGTGCAGTATTAGCAGGGCGCCGTGCGGGATGGAGCCGAGCCCGGGGCAGCAGGGCACCGCCAGGAGCGCACGGAGCTGAGCGCCCGTTTGTGCGTGTAACGCGGCCGCCCCGCCCGTTCTGCTCGGCCCCGCTGCCGCGTGCGTTTTACACGGGAACTGACGCGAATAAATGGATTTATTTCCGTAACCGCTGCCTCCTCGCCTCGGGTTTGGGTGGGGGGAGGGGAGCGCCGCCATTTGGCGGGCGGGCGGGGAGCGGCGCGGCGCATGCGCGGTCTGTACGCGGCGCTCAGCGCGCGTGCGCCGCGCAGGCGCAGAAGGCGGTGCGCAGGCGCGGAACGTGGTGCGCGTGCGCGGCCCGCGCTCTTCTCTGAGGCCCGGCGCCGCGCGAGGAGGCTGCGCTGCTCGGCCCCGGGAGGTGGGTGCGGAACAGGGCCGGAGGGCGGCCGGGGTACGCCGGGCAGGCGGTCCCGGCCGAGGCCGGGCAGCGCGCTGGGGGCCGGCGGGGCGCGCCTTCCTCGCCCGGCGGCCCGGGCCGGCCTAGTTGGGCCTAGCTCGGCCTAGCCCGGCGCGGAGCGGCCCCGCGGTGCGAATCTGCAGCGGGCGGCGGGCCGGGAGGCGCGAGGTGGGCGGGGCGCGCGGCCCTCAGCCTCGTGCTGCCGATCGCTGCGGGAACAAACGGCCGCGCGAGGGGGGAAGGCGCTTCGACCCAGCTGTGCTGAAACGGGCGCCGGGTGGCCGAGCGGCGCCGTAACCGGGCGGCTCCGCGCCTCGCGTTCCGGTGCTCGCAGCGTGCGCCCCGCCGAGCCGTAACGTGTAACGTAACGTTATAACGTATAACGTGCTGTGGGAGCCGCGCGGCGCTGGGCCGGGAGTGCGGGCTGTTGACGGCCGTGCAGTGTGCGGGATGGGCCGCTGAGACCGGCTGAGAAATGGTTTGGGACCTGATGTTATCAGGTACGGTGATCTGCCTTAGTTGGAGCCGTAACGACTCCGGGAATTAAGCTGCTCTGTTATGTGGCTGCGTGGATTTGTGGAAAGAGCTGCTTCTCTCTCTTTGTTTCCTTCTTCTCTTTTCTCTCTCCCAACCTGAGGGCATGGCCGGACTTGAAGTTGAGTACAGAAGTGGGGAACATCCATCACATCTCAGGAAAAGTGTACATCGTAAAATTGCTGCGTTTGTAAGGGCAGCTTTATTGGGAGGAGGTTTTCACACAGAGGATGTTGATGCACTGGAACAGGTTGCCCAAGGAGGTTGTGGATGCTCTGAGACATCAGAAGGCTAACAGTTCATCATCATAGAATCCTAGAATGGCCTGGGTTGCAAAGGAGCACAGTGCTCATCCAGCTCCAACCCCTGCTGTGTGCAGGTCGCCAACCAGCAGCCCAGGCTGCCCAGAGCCACATCCAGCCTGGCCTTGAATGCCTGCAGGGATGGGGCATCCACAGCCTCCTTGGGCAACCTGTGCCAGTGCCTCACCACCCTCTGGGGGAAAAACTTCCTCCTCATATCCAACCCAAACCTGCCCTGTGTCACTTTAAAACCATTCCCCTTGTCCCATCACCATCCACCCTCACAAACAGCTGTTCCCTCCTGTTTATAGCTCCCTTCAAGTACTGGAAGGCCACAATGAGGTCTCCATGGAGCCTTCTCTTCTCCAAGTTAAAAGAAGAACTGGGAAGAACTGGTTCCCAACACAGGCAAACTGCTTGTCTTACGCAGGGCATCCTCTCTGCTGGCAGGACAGCAAAGTCCTTTCCATGGTCAGGGTGTGGCTATTGGATTTCAGTTGTCGCATAAAGATACACATTTGAGTAGTTTTCCATAAAGGAAAGACACTGTTTAATGATTTGCCTGATGATGTATCTGGTAGGGAGCTGAAATAATTCTTTCTTTTTGAGTAGCAGTTAGAAAACTTACAAAGTAGACCCACATGGACCTTTTAGAACTACTTCAGAGTCAGCTGACGTGGTGAGCTGTTCGGCAAACATCAGCTGTTAGCTCAGGCAGTGAAGATAGGGGACAGGCATGTTTCCTTTGCCAAATTTTTTTCCATTCTGTTACTGGTGGCTTAAGAATTCTGGAGATAAGAAATGGGGGTGGGACTTTTTTTTTTTTTTTTTTTTAAAGAATTTGTTATCTTACTCTGTAAGGAGAAGCTGGGATGGGTTTGTCATTGGGATGTGGCTTGAGCTGAGAGCCAGGCTGGGTGATTCCCCCCGGTGGCTTGCAGAGCTTGGCAGGGGCTGGAGGAGGGCAGGGCAGCGTTTGGCAGCGGGATCAAAGTGAGGAGTGGGAGGCAGGCAGAGTCTGTCCTGAGGGGCAGGAGGAGGCTGCAGCCACCTGGCTTCTGTGTGACCACACACAAGGAGCTGCTGGCGTGTCTGTTGTGGCCCACTGCTGTGTATGGGTGTCTTTAATGCTCACTGAGTCTGCAGCTGATAGTAGCTCTGCTCTCTGTGAGGTTATCACCTGGGCCACTTCAGGCAGGCGGTGAGGGCGCCCTGAGCATGGTGCTGTGCTTTAACCCGGCGTGTGGCTGAGCAGCACACGGCTGTTTTCTCACTGCCCTCCTCTCTCAATGGGGAAAAAAGCCAAAGAGTTCATGGGTTGAGATAAAGCTGGTTACTAAGATAGAGAGAAGAAAAAAGCGTAGCAGTTGTGACTATATATACGTGTACGAGTGATGCACAAGCAGTTGCCACTCACCAGCTGATGGCCCCCCGCGAGTGGAAGAAAGCAAGATGAGCTCTCGCCCCTCAGAACTCTCCTTCCACCTGATACCACACACTGTGCAATCTCCCTTTGGCCGTTTTAAGCTGGCTGTCCTGATTCTGTCTCCCCCCAGCTCCTTGGGCCCCCAGCAGCCCTCACTGAGAGGCTGGGATGGCCTCTGTACAGCACTGCTTAGCAACAGCTACAAGCTGTGTTACCAACATTGTTTTCGTCCGAGAATCAAAACAGATTCATTTTGGCAGAAGATGCTGATCTGTACTGAGCAGGAGAATTCTTTTTTGATGTATAAATTTTAATGGATTTCTTTACTTGGAATAAACTGACGCCACAGTCATAGATGAAAGCTGTATTTGTTCACTTATATACCTTGATAGCTCCTTGTGATAACGATGTGGAAAATCCACAGTGACGTGTTTGCATCCCTGTGTTCAAATGCAGGGCTGGTACTGGCACTGGACTGTGAGTGGGGCTGAGAGAAGCAGCTGTAGTTGGTGGAGGTTTGCGATGAGAGGAGTGCAGGGAGCATTGGTTGAAATCAGGAGGCATCGGGCTCAAGTGCAACCCTCTTCCATCTGATGGTGGAAGGATCTGTTCAGACTTCTGTTTCTAGTTAAACTAGAAACCATCCTCAGGTTGTTGAGGGAAAATCCCAATTTTTTTCTGAGCTTTTTAGGCTTTTCAGAACCTTCTGCACTCGCTCTTTAGAACAAGAGAGAGATTGACATGAATTCATTGCTTTCAAGATAACAAAATGGGTGGATCTGTATGTCCACAGCTCTTTATTTTGTAGCTCGACCCAGAGATGCTTCGCAGCAGCCAGAGCCAGCAGGCAGCTTTCTGCTGTCAGTAATGTCTGTTTGGAATAAGTGGTTCCCTTTAAATGGAAGCACTCACAGCTCTCACTGCCACTTCCTGAAGTACTGTGGTTGAATTAATGACTACACGGGCTGCTGTTTCACAGCCAACTTCTGCTTGAATCTTCACTGCTTGAGTATGAAATCTTTTTGTTTCTGTAGGACAGCATGGAAAACTCGACTATGCAGAACTCAGATAATACAGAGGAGGAGAAGACAACAACAGCAGCAGCTGTAAGCAGTGACGGCACTGGCAATGGTGCTGAAACAGCAGCAGAAGAGCAGAATATGGACTTCAGCACGGAAATTATGAGTGTAACTGAGATGGAACAATCACCTGATAGTTCCCCTGGCCTGAATGAAGACAACACGCAAGAAGAGGGGGAAATTCCAAATATTGGGAGTTTACAGACAACAGATATTGAGGCTGGCTTCCCTCCGGATTTTGACAAGTTCTGGAAAGTAGTAGAGGACAATCCCCAGGATTTCACAGGATGGGTCTATCTACTGCAGTACGTAGAGCAAGAGGTTAGTGTGTGCCCCTGCCTCCTTGGTCTGCCAGGAGCAACCAAAGAAAACCAAACTAGCTCCTGGATGTTCCGCTAACAAAAAAAACTGTAAGGCTTTGGTGTGCGCTGCTTTAAGGTGGTTGTCAAGATCATAAGATAACAGCTGTTTTTGAGATAATACTGAAACAATAACTAATTTGAAAATGGGAATAATGTGGTTTTTTGTTTGTTTGTTTTCACTCTTGCAAGAATTTTGTTCCGGCTTCTAAAGGTGAAAGTATCTTTGCACTTAGTTTTTGATACTAAACAATCAGCTGTAATGTAAACAGAAAATTCTTGCTGGCCTTTTGAATGCTGTGCACTGGAGCACAGTCAGCATTACTTAAAGGCACATTGATTGTGCTCGGCTTTTGTAACGCCCTTCTCAGTTTTTAATTAGACTAAGCTGTGTGTAACCTGCCGTGTGTTAGTTGGGTCCTGCTTAGCCACGTGCACCACAACAAACAGGGACCAGTGTCTTTTCTCATGAGAGGTAGATAACCTGTGGGGCTTCTTGCAGCAGGATACGTGAAAACAGAAGTTTATCTTGTTGCTTGTTGAGCCCATGTAAATTCACACACACACACACAGTGCATGGCTGTAATGTCCAAGTGATTCTGTCTAAGGAGGTCTCTGAACTGCAAATGAAGTGGCCAGGAAAGGTTTCTGAGGAAGCTTTGTTGTATGTTTGCCCTGTTCTTAGACTTGTCTTGGTCAGTCTTTGGGTGGGCTTAGTGCATTAGGTGTGACTTTGGTCTGATGGCACCTGATGCCAGGACAGGATGCTAGCTACATGCTTGTTTTGTTCTTCAGACTTTGTGTTGGAAACAGTCTGTTACCTTTTATTTTGTGCTTCTTTGCAGAACCACTTGCCAGCTGCCAGGAAAGCCTTTGACAAGTTTTTCACACACTATCCATATTGCTATGGGTACTGGAAGAAGTACGCAGACCTGGAGAAGAGACATGACAACATCAAGCAGTCCGATGAGGTATGTAGGTAGCTGGACGAAGCTGTTGCCTCTGATCCTGTGAGCCAAATAATGACTGA